ATCATCATCATCATCATCATTTTCTTTTCTTGGGTCAACTGCCACAGGAAGCGGGCCTGACAGGTACAACTCCTGTTGACAGTTGGTTGCATTTTCAACACCCTCATGGCAGAGTCCTGGGTGGAAAGTGTCCTAGGTGGAAAGTGTCCTCTGTCACAAGGATCGGGTGTGTTTGGGACGAGATCCTCGGGACAGTTGCACAGTCACAGCGATTCGTCATATTTGGACCTGAGCCTGACGAGGGGGATACCATTGGGGGGCGACGGCCAACCGAGAACCGGATCATATATGCATAGGTGGGTGGGTGGGTGGGTGGGTGGGTGGGTGGGTGGGTGGGTGGGTGGGTGGGTGGGTGCCTTCATGTATGTGCGTATGCATTTAATGTACGTCTGTGTGTCTGTATGTCTCTATCCGTCCGTCCGACCGCCCGTCCGTCCGTAGGTATGTGTGTATGCATGCGTGACAGGCACTGCACGAATCAAAGGCGTGGAGCCTATGTCGGTGTCAATACACAGCGCACAAAAATCGCAGTGCCACCTTGTTCAGCTGCGGCTGGAGGAACCTGGAACCAAGATAGTAATAAAAGGGAGACCCCTTCCATCATGGATGGCACGAGGTCCTGCTGATTTCGCACCGGGATTGCTAGACCGAACTCTTTCAAGCCTCGGAAGGCAACGCATAAGTAGAACTTCAGCAGATGTGCAGTACGACCCACACATGTGCTGGAAGCCCTACTTGTGCTGTCAAAGCGATACCGCCAACCAAGGAAGCCGGGGAGCGTCCGCGCATTGCACGTGGTAAGGCATTTGGACATCTCCATATCCTGCATAACTTTCAGGGTATGACACGCCTCTTATGACTACTCTTTATATGCTGTTGACCAATGGCTCACCGGCGGGCCAGGATTCTGTTGTGTTCAATCTGCATTGACCAACCCATCGTTTTCAATAGGCAAAGATTAACTGATAATTCTGAGACATGGGCTGCTCCGCGGACAGGAAATCCCATCCGTCCAGAGGCGCACTGTCAACATAGATGTAGCATGGTGTAGCCATGACTGACACACAGTACAACTAACCGAAGCGGACCCTTCCAAATACGTGGTGGGGATCTGATTCCAGAGTCGGGTCAAGCTCGGCAAACATAACCTGGACTCGAACTCTGTGTTTGTGTGTGGATGGCAGTTGTAGCACTTGCTTCAGTGAGAGCAGCAATTGCAGTTGAAAAGGAGAAGACCATGGGTAAGCACGGCAAGAAGTGCAATAACGATTCGAGCACATCCTGGGCGAATCATCGAATGGCAATAGGCAATAGGTTCTTGGCTTCCTCCGTCAACAACTCTGGATTTGCCGTATGTCGGCAAGCCGAGCATTCGGAACGTCCCCAAAATCATCGCAAGAGCAGGGGTCTTTCAGACGGCCTCAACCCCAAGTCCTTTCCTGCAGCCAGCCAACTTTTTCTCTATCCTGGGTCCGATGCCCAAGGTCCCAGAGGGGGCCTACTTAACCCTCTACAACACTCCTGCGACTGCAAGCACGCATAGTCTTGATGCAGAAGTAAGCCCTTCAAGCCGCCAAGTCTTTAGAGTCTCCAGTCTGCCTCCGGCCAGCAGACCTGGAAACCAACTCCTCCAGATTCGGGCGTCACGGGCCGGTCGGGCTGTCCACGCATTGCTGGAGCGGGTGAGGATGGGTGAGGTATACAGCTGGCAACTTGTTTTCGTACTCTTTTTTCGTTAAGACAATCCTACAAGTCCTAGAAGTGGGTTCCGCAGTCATGCAGCTGCACACAAGATGACCGTAAGCGCTGGGATAGTGACGCTCTTTCTTGGAGGGACGTGTTTCGTCTGACCGTGGTAACCAGCCAAACCCGAGCACCACTGCCACGGTGCTAGGCAGAACGATAAAGGGTGGGGAATGCTGATTTCGTAGGAAACACCTCAGCGAAATCCCACTGAACTGTTTCTGTCTTCAGTCGAGGCCCTGTGCTGTGAGATGCCCTGTACGAACCAGACATGGCTGGATCGTTCCTTGCAGTAGCCCTTCTCAAGGTCAAGAAGGAAACGCCTTCCCTGCATTTTTGACAGCCAAACTTCCAAAACGCCCAAGCTCAAAGGCGTAAACCCAAAACCAAGCAGCCTTGTCGTGCAAAGGAAACCCGAGAGAACTTACAACTCAAACTCTGACGTGGGCCTCGGCACTCTTGGAGAAAGTCCTGGCGGCAAGCAGAGAGAAAGCGTTCAGCGTTAATTGCTCAAAAGCTGAACATAAGTGCTTAAGGATGAGGGGCTCTGGGTGTTCAGGGCTAGGGTTCCATCGAGTGTTTCTAAATCGTATGTGTTCGGGCGCAGGGCATCAGGCAAAGGATCCTTGCTCTAGGTTGGACCCGCAGTTCACGTTCAGGGCTGGAGGAGCTAGACAGTGTTGAAGCGTCTGTGTGCTAGGTCTTGCAGGAGAGCACAGATGTCTGCTGTACCTGGCGTGCGACTACGACGACCCTGTGTAGTCTTTGATCCCGGGTCCCATGTCAACAAACTCTTATTTAGTCTTACTTCTTGGGGATTGCAGCTCATCGGGAAGTTTGGGCCTGGAGTCCCAATTCATTTGAGGCGGACGCGTAATGCAAAGTCGACTACAAGAAGCGAGTTTAGGTGAGGGTTCAATTTCAAACGGAGTTTCCCACAAGGTATCTTGGGAGATTGAGGGTAACTACAATATTTTAGGGACCCGGAAGAGGAAACTCAACTCCCGAGACACTCCAGCAGGAAGCCTGAGCAACAATTAAAGCCGAAAACTCCACATCCTTCAGACTTCGCTTCGCTTCGTGGATCTAAAGCTGAAGTTCTTGTACTTCAAACCCGGTTGGAAGCTCACTCTGGAGGTTTTGAGGGTCGCTCTCGAGTAAAGCCTTCCGGATATTCCAGACCCCAATGCCCCGGTGAAGCTGGGCCTGCACGCCGTAGAGCGAGGTGCTGCCCTTGAGGTACGTGTTTGCCTCACTCTATCCAGGAAACCCGGCGGCGCGACCGGTTTGGAAGAGCCAACGTTCGTCAACGGCTCTTTGTCACTTTTCTCCATCTGCGGCGAACGGGCTGAGCACGATGTCCAGAATATGTATGTACACATGTATGAGAATCGATGCAATAACTGACTGAATAAACTACCTAAAGATACACATAGATAATACACATACAGTACACATATATATATATATATATGTGTGTGTGTCTGTGTGTATCTAAATATGTGTATATACATATAAGGTTTATTGATGTACAGTTATCCATAAAATTCTCTCACACTCACATACATACACACATTGAAATTCCATTACGTATGCTCAAAGCGCAGGCCCTCTGTGCCGGGATTGATTGCCACATTCTATGCGAATCCGCTACTGCCTTGCTTGGAGGCTGTTGAGCCTGACATCTTGGAGTCCACCTCTTAAGTGTCTACTCGAAACCCTACAATACAGCTTCAAACGCTCGCAGTGCAACCACCATCATGTCAAAACATACATCGGCAAACCAAACACCCTGTGACCGAATCTGTGCCATGACACATCCAAGCCAAAAAGCAGCGCGTCGCCCGACAGGGCTCGTTGCAGTGCCCTGGGCTGGGACACGTGAAGCCTGGGCCTTGATTCATTCGGGTGCAGGATGCACTGCCAGGGTCGGGATAAGCATCAGAACTTTTTGATCAAGACAAAACAATCCCCAGACCTTTTGTAATTCAAGCCCCCAAGTCTCTTACACTCGCAACCCTAAACCAACATTTGCAGCCTGGAATCTTGACTTTTTCCGAAATGAACTGTGGCTGTGGAGGTCTAAACCCTTCGATGCCCCGAATTCCGAAGTAGCTGCAGATGCTGAATGACCACGATGCTCAAAGCATACGTAAATCGTCAACCGCTCAACCCCACTCCCGACCGCCCAAATCTGATGCCCTCCTTCCTGATCGACCCTAGCTCCTTGGGCTCCAGACTTAATCACCGGCGCCGTTGCCTGGCAGATTCAAGCTTCGAGGCATTTTTCAGTGATGCTTCCAGGAATGCAGCAAGGGTACAAGTAGAAAGATGAGAAAGATATACATTGCAAAGCATGCTTAGAGTTATGCGACTTCGATCTTTTGCACCGCTCCGAACTCAGTCGCTTTGCATCACACAACCTCTGCACGAGGATATGCTTTGGGATTCTATCCGGTTCCTCCGGATAGACTGTAACCCAGGCACAACTGACACCCAGTTGGCCGAAGCCCGATTCTCGGGCTTGAGCACCCATCCATCTTGGATGAGGGTTACGATCGCATAACAATGCGCATCCCCAGCCCCTACGGGGCCTTCAAGAAGCAGGGTAACTCCACGGGAGCCCGTGCTTCAGGGCGGGAGGAAAGAAAACTCTAAGCCTTTTTGGGTCGAGAACTTGAGCCACAATGGCACA